CTCTATATTTCATTAATGAAATTTAAAACTATCTCCATTGGAAACACTGAAACTTTGGTAAATTAAGAATCAAAGCATAAAAAGTAGATGAAAATGTATCATGAATATATACTAAAAACTGTCAAAGTTTAAATAATTACTTTGAATTAGTCTTAACACTTTCTTTAGTCGAGCTGTGACATTCCAACATCTTAAACAAATATGGAAAAAAATCTTATGAGCTTTGTGCACAAAACACAGGGAATGCACACTAATATTTAAACTCCACATTTTAAAAATCTGCTTCCACCAAAAGAGATTTAGATACCATGGCAACCTTAGAAATTCTTTGTCTGTTTGTTTGATTTTTTAAATAAATGCCAATGTTCTTTCCTATAATTCCCTCAGCACTGCCAGTGTCCCGCTAAAGAATCACTTTACTGTTGTTGGAATATTTTAGGTTGACTTCTGTTTTGCACAGAATGAGTGCAAAAATCATTCAGGAATGATTTTTATTCTGAACGTATTAACAAAAGAGCCCCAGGCATTAAATACATACCAATTGCAAAAACAGTAATATTTCTCTGTTTCAAGAGACTATTTCTCTTGAGTAATATTTCTCTGAGTAATATTTGTAATATTTGTAAATATTAATATTGCTCAGAGTAATATTTCTGTTTCAAGAAAGTAGCATGGAGAGCCCCCATGTGTACTGTGCAGCTTTCGCAATCACCAGCATTCCCTCAGCTCTTCTGTCTTATCTTCTCTGTCGCAGGCAGCTCTTCCTGTATGGCAACTACTCCCAGACCAATTGATTTAATGAAAAGAAAAACACAACCTTGTTGGTAGGACTTTTCTTTCTTTGGATGAGTCCGGCTGATCTCAATCTGCCTTGGATGGGTCTGAGTGCTGCTCTTCACCCCTGTTTCCGGTGGCCAGGTGCGGTAGGCGGTCTGGTCTAGAATGGCTGCGTTTCCCACTTAGTCGCTGCTGGGCATCGATCCGGGATGACAGGAGCAGCGTACAATGTGTCTATCACTTTCTGACGGGGCAGCTGGACTGGTTCTCGCAATAACTGAGTAGAGTTGCCAAAGGTAGAAGGAAGAGAGTACAGGGTTCCTTAAGACCGACAGGCAGAACTCGCTTGGTTGGTCAGGAGCTTCCCAGTTTCCAAAGGCCAGGAGATAGCCTCCCGGGAGGAGTTCTCAAGTCATCCCCAACGTGGGTGAATATAAGAATAGCAGATGGGAGGGAGCCTTGGCAACCACTCTTCTTTGCCACTAAATACTTCAGAAATTACATTTTTATTTTTTAAGTCGTCCTGACTTTGTTTCTATATTAAGTTGAATAGAAGGCATGCAAGTTAAATATAATTTTAGATAATATTAGTAGATTAATCCTATTACCACTAAGAATATAATGATGACCACTCTAAGAACTTTTCATACTTTTTATTTATTATCCAGTGCTAACTATATATGATTTCACTTAAGCCTCATAAATATGCTGTAGTGCAGCAACTATTTCATGCCCTGAAAGGAATGAATAAGAGAGGTCAGGTTAACTGCCCATGGCCATACATCAAGCCACCTCTTCCACTAACCCCATTTTCCACAATATAATTTGCTGTATGTTACTCTCTCTTATTAGCTTGGTATTTGCTTAAGATATTAGATAAAATTCACATGGCTAAGCTAACTCATGATTCCATTTCTATAGGCAAAAGGTGATTTTCATTAATGGAGTAAAGTGTTCCTATATTTGGCACCATAGAGCTCTTTCAAATAAATGAGTTTTGCCTACTCTACACATGGCCATGGGTTTGAACCCCAGTAACACCTACCCCCAAATCAGAAGAAACTGAGATTACCTTATAATAATCATAGTACATTACAGGATATGTTTAGATAAAACAAAGGACTTTATTTCTTTATTGTTGCATTGGAAGCAGTACTATGATTTATGCAAGGTTGCCCACATTTATGATAAGGTCACAAAGCGTGTTTTAATTAGTCCCCTTTCATCCTGTGCTGCTGAAGATAGAAACCAGGGCCTCCCCCCTGAGATATAACCCGAGTCCTTCTCTCTCTCTCTGTGTCTCTATCTCTGTCTCTATCTCTATCTCTATCTCTATCTCTATCTCTATCTCTATCTCTATCTCTATCTCTATCTTTATCTCTATCTGTCTCTGTCTCTCTTTCTCTTTCCTTCTCAGACAAGGTCTTGCTCTGCAATTCAAGCTGACCTTGAGCTCACTTTGTAGCCCAGGCTGGTCTTGAACTTCCAACAATCCTCTTTCCTCAGCCTCCTGATTGCTTTTTTCATTTTCTACAATTTGTCTTAAGACTGTATCTCAGTTTTAAGGTGTCCATGTGGGAGTTAGTGTGAGGCAGTCTTCCTGCCTCAGTTTACCAAACTGCTGGGACTCTAGGCAGGCATTCTGCTTTTAATTCTTATACTACTAATCAAATTAGAAAATCTGAGGCAGTCATGAAGGGTCACCTGCATCCTAACATCCCGAAATTTCTATTTTCATTCACTGAGATGGCAAGATGACTTTTATCCTTCTAAGGATGAATTAAAGGACTAGGAAGATTTAAACCAATTTATTCAGATTCATAAAAGCTACCTGCCTTGTTTTTTTTCTTTTAAGACTGAGCTGATATTGTTAATATAATCTAGCAGACATCAGAGTCATGTGTGAAGTTTCATATATTTTAGTATACTTTTCCTCTTGTCTTAAATGTCAGCTCCATCCTGAGATATAATAATTGCTTTTTTCTCTGAGGGTTAGTGTGAGGCATTTACACTCATTCTTTCAAAGAAGATGAATAAGGATATAATTGTATTGCTGTCTTTCTGCTGCAAAACAGAATTACTCAACAATATGCCCTTTATGCGTTTGACAATGAAATGCAGGATGACTTTCCTTTTCAGTTTCAAGACTACTTGGGGGCTTTCTTCACCACCTAATGGAATCTTCATTGCAGGAGGTCACATTTTAACTTTCAATAATCACAGCCTTACAGTATGTAAACATACTTAAGTCTCATGTTAATTGAAGCTAATATCTTCCAAACATGAGGTCAGATGTAGAATTTACCATTAGCTGTACTCAAAACCAATGAGATCATCAGTATTTGTTAGAGCCATGAATATATTTTATATTTATTTTATAGTAGGAGTTCACTGCAGCATCTTTTTATGGGATAGGATTTCCTGAGTAAAGGCCATGTACCTTTTCATGGGTTAGTACCATTATAATTCCAAAGCCAGATCACCACTACTGAAGAATTAGCTCCTATGAACTATTATTCTATAGCAATTAGAGATCATTGAACTTATTAGCCTAAAACAGGGGAGTAATTGAAATTGAGCCTGTTTTCACTTATTGGCTGTCTTTACTTGAGGTGGGATGATGTATGAGACAATAATCTGGAATATGATCTCCTAATGGCATCATGGTTTTAAAAGACTTGCTTCTAACAAATAGAGGGCAACTCATTAGACACATATATGAGATACTATTAGAGCAATCAGCATTGAATATTAATGAGACAGAATATTAAATGCTTAATGACAGGTAAAAAGTGATATGTAACTGTGAACAATGAATTTAGATGACTACTGCAGAACTATTTCAGAAGACAAAAGAAACAATACTCAAAGACCAAGCTATTAATAATCTTTAGACTTTTCATCTGCAAAATAGGTATATGCATCCCTAGCTCCCAAATGGACAATGAGAAGAGCTCAGTTTCTGAAGTTCAATCCGTGTCTCCTTTCTATAATTAAAGCAATGATTTTTGCATGTCATTTACTTTTTTAACACAATCCATTTTATCAGGAAAATGGATGCCAGGTTTGTGATATATTTGGAAATACTTAAAATTGCTCATGCATTTTCATTTTAGTAAGTATAATGAACCAACAAAGTATAATTTTTCCAACTCCAATTTTATACATGGGGAACTGGGAGATAGCTCGGTAGAATAAGCGCTTGCCTGGCAAGCACATGGACCTGAGTTTAATCCCCGGTTCCACAAAAAATAAATAAATAAATAAATAAATAAATAAATAAAATAAAAAACAAAAAAAAAGACACCTATTATAGTAATGCATAGCTTTGATGAGGGGGGATTTAATACAAGAGAAAATTTTCCTTCATGATCAAAGTAACATTTCTCAAATTAAATATTTAAATAGGACTGCAGTCACTAAAGATCCCAAAAATTATAACAGTAAAAATAGCATTAGTTAGTACTTTAAATTTGACCTATAAGTACCTACATAACAAAGAAAAAGGCCTACAGTTGCTAGAGTTGACATCTGAGATAAAATCAAAAGTCAAAATAAATGGAGTTAAATATGAATTTAGTAGCTTCTGTCATTTCTGTATTATTGTTTTTTCATTTGTGGCAAAATAAGTGCATTAACTGATTCTAGGGTGAAGAAAGAAAATGATATAATTGAAAAACTATTACATTTTACAGCAAATATTTTAGTTTCATTTCTGAGAATATATTATAAATAATGTTTAGATACATGTTAACTATTGTGTTTTAAAAAAATAGTAAGGGAAATTGATGAAAAATTCAAATTTTAATATTTATTCTATTTCTGTACACCTTATAGCCTAGGCTGGCCTTGAATTTATGGCAATCCTTATGCCACACCCTCCTGAGAGCTGGGATTATAGTTGTGTGCCTACCACACCAGGCTGAATTCTTCTGACAGTCATTGACATTATAGTGCACTTCAGTGCCTTGAAAATAAAGCTCTGACAAATTTCATATGTAATAAAAGTGTAATTAATTAAAATGGCTTATGGTTTACAGTATACTATTAGTATCTTGCATTTTAAATAAAAGTACAAAAACTTTATTACATATTTGTGGAATTATTAAAGGCCAAGTTCATTAAAATAGTAAGAAAAAAGAAAAGTATGTTTAATTTCTGTTATGGTGACATCTGAGATTATATCTGCTAATATATTATTCTGCTTGCTTTTTTGCTTGCAGGTTGTTCACGTTTTATTCAGCTTTAAATGAACAGTAGGAGGCGCCAGTAAGATTGTCAGTCTGCCGTGCTTACTTCCTGGAGAGCAATGGCGAAACTTGTAACTGGAAAAAGATTAATCCTATCACTGATCTTCCTTTTGTTAAAGTTATCACTAGCAGTTAAAATACCACTCTCAGGTAAAGTGACTGCTTTCAATACCTACCATGAAATTTTTGTTTTTGTTTTCTAAATGGAATAATTATAGATTGAAAATACAGCTTTTAAAATCATATTTCATGTACATTTCCATCAGTGTGTCACACAAGTCGTAGTTCCTCTATTTGTCCTTTAATAACTGATATTTGTCTGTAATAATTATTTTACAACTCACATATTTTGCTTCTTATGTAAACTTAATCAATGACAAGAAATGTAACCCATATAACAGGTGACATTTTTGCAATATATCTAAAATAGTCTGAAATATTACAAATAGATCTTGATGTTATATACTGGGGTTACTTTATTTGGAGGAGAATTATGACTTAGAAGATACTGGCTTTCAACAAATGATAGGAAGGAATTGAAAAAACTTTGTATTATTTTTCATAATTATTATGCATTTTAAAAATGAAAACACAATTACAAAAAATAAATAATCTTTTACAACTGAAAGTCTTAGTGTTTCCATTTCTTAAAGATTTACCCTTCCATGTAAAACTAACTCTAAACAGAATGTATACTATTGTGTAAGCTCCTCTTTGGATATATATATATATATATATATATATATATATATTATTGTGATAAGTTGCTTCTGAATAATATATATATATTTGGATATATATAATTAAATACGTATAATATATATATATATATATATATATATATATATCCAAATAGGAGCTTGGATAGGCTATAAAGTGTACAGAAATGAAATAGATATAGATTTTCCAAGATATATATATATATATATGAAAATATCATTGTATAATGCAGTAATATGATTCCTTTTGCCACTTCTATACATAATTTGAAGAGTTCTAATAATTTTTTTTTATTTATTAGAATCAGCCTTATAAATGATCATTGAAAATTATTTAAAGTCTAGACATTTTAGGCCACTGAAAAATTTTTTTTCAAAGTTTTATTGATAAACAGATAGCAATGAGACAGTTTCAAATCAAATCGGAAGTAGGCCACAGAAAATTTAATAAATGCTAGTTTACTAAATGTCTCCGTACTGAGCTGAAATTCTGAAGTAATCAGACAGACTGAATGTAAGTAGAAAAAGTAATAATAGCTCTGGGACTATGTAATATCATGTTTTAAAACCATTTGTGAGGGTCATTTTAATAATTAGGACTTTTCCACCACACATTTACTTCTAGTTCTGCACCTACACCACAACCCAAGTAAGAATCCCTGATTCTGGCTCTCAAGAGAGAATGAAGGGGCTGGTGAGATGGCTCGGTGGTCTAAGGCACCTACTTGGAACAAGTTTAGCAAAGCACAGGTATCGCGGTTCAATACCCCAGCACCATATGCCGGCAAGCCCCGCCCCCTGGTGGGCTGAGCTGCCCCCCCCACACACACACACAAATAAATAAATTAAAAAAAAATCAAAAACAAAAAAAATTATAAAAAAAAGAGAGAATGAAGCCTTGTGTTCCCATTTTTTAAACATTTCTACTTCCTTTTCTAAGATACAGAGATTTAAAATTGTTGACATATTTACTGGAAATCATTCAGTCTACGAACAATATATAAGATTGTATGATTCACCAACCTAATCCTGAATATTCTAGGAATCTGTGAAATGTCCTTTTTAGTGAATTTTTTCATGTGACTATGAAATTCCAAGGTAAAAGCAGCAAAGATCCAGCTGGGCTTTTGAATCCAGCTTCCTAATCTTATTCTCTAAGAAATACATGTATTCCCTCATCATTTCCCACAAGCTCCTCAGTGATGACGGATGTGAAATTCTGTATTAATCCATGGTGCACATTTTTATTCTGGTTGTCTTAGTGACTTATGCATTTTCATGCTGCAGTGTCCTTAGACAACAGTTGTTATAAAATATTAATGACATATTTTCAGAACAAGAGACTATTATCCATTTATTTCAGTTCTCTGGAGCACTCACTAGTAAATACAGCCAAGGCAGGTTCCCAATGTGAATCTCAATGAATCTGGTATCTCTGTAATTGGCCTAATTATAGAGGAAAGAATTTATAACATAGAATATATATGTATGTATATATATTCATATAAACACCCAAAAGTTATTAGCTTCATTCCCTGAATAATTATTGCTACTAAGGCTTTACAATCTCAGAAAATTTAAGAAACAATAATATTGTAATAAACAAGTTGCTTTTGAATTATTAGCTGGTATCTTAGAGACTGTGGCCACTGTGTGTCATCGTTAACCATTTATAGCTCAAATACAATCTAAATAATTTGCAATCTATTTACAAGTTCAAGCCTCCAATATACTTAGAAATGGTGTTAATCACAGACAAGCTAACTATCAATCAAGATAGGGCTTTTCTTTCATTTTACTAAAATTTTATGAATATCTAATGGCTAATGACTGCATTTGCATTAATGTGTGTAAGCTAATAATGTTCACCTATCATATTTAATAGATGAAGGTAAAGAAAATGGAATTCTGGAATTGAAAAGGGCATTTAATTGTTATCTATATTTGTTATCAGTGCTGAAAGTGTGGTTGTCCTTGATATCCTAGAGATACTGTACATCCCAATGCTCTATGAGATTAATCTCTTTTGAAAAATAGCACTATGATGAAGTGGTCCTTTATTTTCACTGTCACTGTCACTTACAAAAGTATATAAAAGCAATAGTGGGAAATCTGCTGGTCAGGTCTTGGCTTTGGCACAAAATTGCACCACTATGCAAAGTGTTCTTCACGGCCGTTTGTGATCAATAAAAACATCCAGAAGACAGAACAAACCTGAACAGTTTCATTAAGGTTTTAATTGTGAAGATATTAAATAATGTAACCTTCATGAGCTCTCCACTTTTGAGTACATTTCTTCTAACACTGGAATGAACTGAAAGACAAACATAAATAATTCAGTTATACCACAGTATGATGATTCTCTTTGTCCATTTATTGTGTCATTGCTTGAGACTCAATACTACCGTTAGTTGGAAGTATAAATGACAGACAAATTATGGTTGCTTAAATGTGTGTCAGGCAGATACCTTTCCAAAAATGAATCAGTCGATCCTGTCACTTTCAGATAAACTGGAAGAGTATGCTGTCAGTGATAAAATGTGAGTTTTCCAGAAAAAAATCAAAATTGTGAAAATTTTGTATCCCTTGCTGTGAGTGTAAGAGCTTTGCAGCACATGAGTTCTCTGATTAGATCAGGGGTAATTTTAACAAAATTATATTTCATGTATTCTGCAATGAAATGTGTCAATACATGAAGATCTTCAGAACTCACTGAGCATGTGCATCTTTCCTAGATGACCACTGTGGGATGTTACACAAGATGAATAGATTAAAAATAAATGAAATTACTTAATGTAAAAGAATATCAAAAGTGTGTTGGTAGATTTCAGGTTCCACATTACAATGAACATTTAACAAACTGGCATTTACTAAATTCTGGTGCACTGTCCAGAAAAAATACCCACAATCACCATGAACACCCCACATTTTTTCACTACATGTAGGCTTATGGCAGATTTATTCCTATCTTCACACAAATTAAACAACTGAAACAAGAGGGAAATAGGCACAGGTATGAGCACTCAGTCCTCTTAAGAAATTGGATCTGCAACAACATAATTACTCTTCTCAACATATTTGTATATTTATAAATGTTATTTATTATAACATAGCACATTTTCAATGAATTTATGAATCAATAGCCTAAAGATTTTAAAAATATTTTGAATATAGTAAATATTGTCACCTATAATCTACACTAACAAAAGCACTTCAGACTGTCTTATGATGAGAAATTGATTCAGTCTTAATCAAAATGCTTGAGAAAAACTACATGTCCAGAATCCTAAATTTCATAAATGTGAAAACAGAGAGACTGTGTTCGGCCATTCCCAACCTCATGGTTTTCATAGTCCCATTTATATCTTGGCTATTCAATATTACTTAAGTCAGGCTCTATGCATGTTTTTCAACTGCTTTTCTGATTATGTATTTGCCAAAGTCAGTTCCTGCTGCTAAAGAATTTATATTTCTTTATAAATTCAATGCTATGATCTTATTAGAGAATCCAAAAGCTGTACTAAAGAATGTCTCAATTTTTTAAAAAAATTGTTGCATGCTTATCTATAGTAGATCTTCCCATGTATTGTCCATGTCATATTTCAAGGCTCAAATCTGTAAGGTATCTTTAACCTTAGCACTATTTATTTATTTATATTTTAATGCATTTATTACGTAGTCATGAGGATCAGAAATGTGGCTGAGTTGGGCTTCTAGGTGAGAGGCAACGTTAATGCCTTCTTCAAAAAACAAAAATGATTTGCCTTGGGAGCTAATTAACTTTTCAAACATTATCAGTTCCATACAAGGTGAAGGGATATTTGCATATGAAGATACTATTAAGGAAACGCCTTTATAGGATAGATGTATTTTTTTGTTAGTGATGATTTATAGGTTAAATATAAATATTATAGGGAAAATGACACAAATTTCTAATACCTTAAGTGGGGAAATGAAAATGTATAAATGGGAAATGACTAAAACACTAACATTTCTCATTAAAAGTTTTGTTAATACTTATTGTTAAAAGTACGTTAGCGGGGCAGGGAGATGACTTAGTAGAATAAGCACTTGCCTGGCAAGTGCACAGGCCAGAGTTCAATCCCTGGTTCTGAAAAAAAAAAAGTACTTTAGCAAAATAATTAAAATATTAACAAAATTAATGGAAATTAAAATGAAGAGAATGAGAATGGTAGATTTTCTTTTGTAATACATATCAAGAATTGATGCTATTTTTTACCATGCCAGGAACTTAGCATAAGTCCTCACTCAAAAGAAGAATCTATATGCCCAAAAGTATTGGTTGAAATATACTTCTTGCAAATAAAAAATGGAAAAGAATCTAATTGCCCATAATAGAATTATCAAATAAACTGTATCATATCAATGTGGAGAATGATGCAAAAGCAATAAATTAATTGTAATGGCTCTATAGAAGCATGAGCACCTATCACTTTCAAAATTAGTGAACTAAGGAAAATGCATATTCATATCAGCATAGAGTAAATGTCAATAATTTTGGGGGGCTTTTTGGAGATGAGGACCCCCTTTACAGTGTATTGCCATGTACTACTATGCCTGGCTGAATGTCAGTGATTTTCTTTTTAACCTTTTTTTTTTTTTTTTTTTTTTTTCCTGGGATTGAACTCAGGCCCTTGCACTTGCCAAGGAAGTGCTTATTGCACTGAGCCATCTCCCCGGCAATGCCAGTGATTCTTAACAGATATTTTTAAAATATGATAAGACTTTCTTTCTACTTATGAATTGCTACATGATTGGGGGACTAAATAAAATTAATACATTGACATGAAGTGGTATCAAGGAAATATATTTCTTAGTAAAATAAATATTGCAAGGAGGACATCAGATTTGTTCTGTTATTTTTAGTCTTATATGAACTTCTAATTAACAATACAGAAAGTGCCTTTAAAGTATGTTATATATTAAGAAAACCTTTGTTCAGTTTTTGAAGATCTTGTTTTTCAAGTGTATCTTTTTAACATTTAGTTCCACAGGCTCCAACAATCACAAAACAGCCAAAAGAGCAAGTCGCCTTTCCCTTTGATGAGTATTTTCAAATTGAATGTGAAGCTAAAGGAAATCCAGAGCCAGTGTGAGTACTGCCTCTGACTGAACAATTCGTTCAATGCACACTGTACTCCTTGCTACCATTTTTCAATCTAACCATTACAAACTTATTGGACTATAAAACTTCATATGATTGAACTTTAAGGTGTCTAAGTAAGTTTGTGTCTATAAAAATAAAGTTTGGTGATTTTACACATGTTACATAAGACTTATTACATCATTGTCCAAGAAGAGAGAAACTGGTAGTACAGTGGAAAGGTAACTGTGTTTATATTTTGCTGGCATAAATTTCTGCAACACTTACTAAAACTGTAAAAATTTCTTTCACTATCAGATGAGTGATCTTATTTCTAAGGAATTGGCCTGAAGGACAATTTAGACAATTATTAATAAAAGTGTGCTATTTTTATCACAATTAAAAAGATGTTGCAGTGATGAAGTATATTATCTTATATTTTGTGTTATAAGGAAATATTTTCATAAAAATTGTGCTTAGTACCCATCTAAATTTGACAGGATTCAACTAGCAAAGTTGTTAAGTTAGCATGGTTTTAAATAAATGACAAATAAACATAAAGATACTACTAAGAAATAAAAGCAAGTAATAAAATTTGATTGTTTCTTAAATTTAAATAAGCCCTTTACACACATACACCCAAAAGCATATTGTACTTTGACATCTACTGTAGTCTCTTTTTCATAGTTTCTAAAATATTAATAATAATCCACATTGGACTTTTAATTGGAAACATTTTAAAATAATTAATTTAAAGGAACAGAATAAAACCTACTTTCAACTTCATCCTCTTAGCTGTCAATGCATTTTCATGGCTTATAAGATTTCTCAGATTCTTCTAAGTTGATTATTTTTGTATCTTACTATCTTCTACTATATACCATTTAATGTTTTGATTTTTGTTTATCAGTATAAATACACTTTACAATTGAGAAACTATATGATCTTTTATTAAATTTATTTTTTCTTATAGATTTTCTTGGACTAAGGATGGCAAGCCCTTTGATATTTCTGATGCTCCAGTAATTCCATCTAATCATTCAGGGACATTCAAGATTCCAAATGAGGGACACATATCTCATTTTCAAGGGAAATACCGCTGTTTTGCTTCTAATAAGTTAGGAGTTGCTGTGTCAGAAGAAGTAGAATTCATAGTTCCAAGTAAGTGTTGCAGTGGAGTTTTGATTTTATGACTATTTTAAATGAAGCTTTAAATAGATATTTCATGGGTTTGGATAAAATGTCATTATTAATTTAATCATTTCACATCTATATATTTTTCTGTTTCAGTAACCTTATGTCTAACATAGGGAAAATACAATCTTCCTTGCCTTAAATGATGAGAATTAAGTTAAATGCATTATTAGTTAAACTCAGCTAAATTCATCACAGTATTAGAAAAGCTGAGGCACTTAGGTCAACACAAAATGATTTCTTGCTGACTGAAGTAGTGGTGGGTCTGGCAGTTCTTCTGGGAAGAACTGCTTGGAACTTCTTCCAACTTGCTTGGTGATTCTGGGTGGTGGAGGCACTGTCAACCTTGGGTTGTATCATATGACACGTGTGACCTATGCAAGACTCTGTGTTGTAGAGCACAAGTGATTGTACACAGGCTCCTAAATGCCACCAATGGCAAATTACCAGGCAACTTGTATTCGTTTTGTCAGATATAGCGAAACAAATTGTATTGTGTCACTTAATTTACATTAAGTGTGCCCACCAGGAGAGCAGAATGAGCTGCCAGGAATTTGTACTAGAACTAAAAATCATGGAAAACACTTTGCAATAAACTATGCCATTAACTAATAACTGCCATCAATTTTAAATTACTAAATATTAGTATATTTTGCATATTTATGAGATAATACCAGCTATCATCTTAAGTTTCTTAACTTAGGATTCTAACCAAAAGATTCATAGAGTAAATTTGCATGAGTAAAATAGTCAGCTTCTATTCAAAGATTTTTCTTCTTAAAGTCATAGTAAATGGAAGAAGGTCCTAGAGGAGGGAGCATATACATAATCTGTGGTTGGGACGGGGCAGAACAGATACAAACTTTAGGAAAATAAAGCAGAAAAATATTTTTATTCGAATAAGTTAATGAGACTGTACTAAAGTTTAAAAAATGTATGCAAACATAGATAAGACACTGTGTCATTTATACTTCTATAACTAAAATATGCATCTTAAAATTCATAATTACACCACAAATATAGAAAAGGTGAATGATTATCAAACTATGTGGTACATGGGAATAGAAACAAAAGCAAGAAGAAGAAAACCAAGAAACAAAAATGAGACAAACAGAAAGATAAAAAGCCAAAAATAAATATACGCATATGTCAAATTAAAGATAAAAGTCAGTAAAATAAATATTACAAATATGAAAAAATGTTATAAACTATAACACAACACATCTAAGTCATGAGGATAGAGAAATATTGAAACTAATATAAGGTGAAAATATCCTAGGTAAGTGCTTTCCAAAAGAAGATATAATAATAATAGTGAAAATACACATATCACTGTGAAAGCCTAAGAGAATGTTTTCTCTCCATGTGACTCTCCTTAGGAACACTCTACATCATCAATCACTTTCCTCTTTGGTCCCATAATCTCCTTGATCAGAAAATTTGGGACACTACTGAGTTACATGACATCACAGTACAAGTTCTCATATGTCCTGAGTCTTAATTGACCTTCAATGGGTAGGGCCAAAATGTTGGCTTTCCTTGCGGCCCTCTTTTTTCTCTAATTTTGGTTTGCAGCCTTAGGTTGTTAACCCTCCAGAAGAGAAGTTTATTGTTATTACCATACCACCTAGGTTGTTAAGCTTAACCTTACTATCTGTCTGAATATCAAACATCTTAGGCATAACATGGAACAGGTATTTTTCATCAAGTATTGATATGTTAAACTTTAAGTCTCTGCAGAATATGATGAAAAAACATTGGCCAAGCAATGGCCGTGACTCATTTACATGGCTGACACTGACAAAGGTTCTACAATCTGAGGTACAGGATCTGAGGATAAATCCTGAGGGGATTTCATTGACCTTATCAGACCCAAAAGCTACAACTCTTGTTGCATAGGTCTTGCTTTACCTTGGTCTTAACCCTCCAGCAGAAAAGTATAAAAATGAAATATACGAAGTAAAGCCATGCTGTTATGTTGAGTTGTAGGGGACTCAGGTCAACAATTTCTGACATTGCCAGTCAAGCGGAAGACCCAATACTGTTATGGACTACTGGACTCTTTTAGAATATTTTGCTGAGTTACACACCTATAATATTCAAATAATGGAACTAAACAAAAAAGGGGATATAGATGAATGTCCATTTTGTATCTGTGTATTCAAAATGGTTAGAATTGATATATAGTTACATTGTCTTAATCAGTAGAGGGATTTGTTCTAATAGTGTTTGTAAATAGGATATCATGTCCACATCTTGTACAGCAATTAACAACTAGGAAGAACGTATGCTATGTGTTAATTATTGAAACTGTCCTACCAATTTGGTTTGAAACTGTATCATTGCTATTTGTTTCTCAATAAGATTATGGAAAAAAATAAAATAGCAGAGGCAACATTATAAAAAAAACACATATCATAAGACATCTTCCTTTAGATTAATTTTATAGGCATTTATAATCCATTAGTGTGGGAAGCTAAAATATGAAAAGAAACAGACAGCTCCATCATGATAATGAGAAAGATTAACATATGTCTTTCATTGTTGGCAACTCAAGCTTAAGAAAACATCTATAAATGCTTAAGATTTAAATAACTCATTAGCTGCAGCTAAGGAACATGTATAGAACACGGTACCTGTAAGTATAGTAAGTATAGGCTTGTGAGATGAAAAATGATTTGATGACGTTTTGAGCTGTGAAGACAATATGATCAAAATGAAATTATTCAGAAATTATTAATAAATGTAACTAAACTACCTTATAGCTGTGAAGGCTAACCAATGTGTTTTTAATTAATTTTGAAGTGATGACACTGAAAGTTCTGTGCAGCAAGACATGTGTGATGAAGCAATAGCATTATTTATAGAAATACTTATCATATTAAAATTTACAGGAGAAAAAATGAAAGGGCGAAAAATAATCATGTGACCTTAATAGGCAGCATAACTTTAGGAGAATATAAATGAGATAAACTTATAGAACAAAATGAAGGAACAAATGGTATAAAAACAAAATAAAGTGACTTGAAATGCCTAATAAAAACATGAAGATATGTTCAGCATCATCAATAATCCGAGTTGCACAATGGCAACTTAACAAATGAATTTGCTACTTATTATTGGAAAATATCACACAAATTTGGGGAGAAGCAATTTTATTTTTATTTATTTTATGTATTTAGCAAGGATCTATAAGATCTCACTACACGGATTGGACTCATAGTGATTCTCCTGTTTTTAACCTCCCAATTGCTGAGATTACAGGCTTGTGCCACCGCACCCAGTCTCAATTGCCATCTCAGCACACCTTGGGGTCAGGGACAGCACTGCACACAGGGGATCAAACCCGGGTCCCTGCATCTACCTAAGCAGGGGATTTAATCCGCTAGCTGTCTGGCCAGCCCTAGAGAGAAGCAATTTTAGATGAGACTATGCCCTTCACCACTGCTGAGTGTATAGTTCACTGCTTTATTTTTCCTCACTTCTTCAAATATGTACCTCCTGTGGCCCATCAACCCCTTTCTCTTGCCTGGATGCATGTGCCCTCGGTCCATAGGCACCAGGAATATGTGCTAGCATTGCTAGTATTTTAAAAAATATACTGAGCAAAACTCAAAAGTCCAGTCAGAGTAGAATGGATAAGATAAGGTTTATTTATTTGAAAAATACTACCCAGCAGAGGAAGAACTCCAGATATATGTTGAACTATAAAAGCAAACTTCGAGAAATACATAAATGTTATTTATTGTAGGTAAATTAATATAAGTGAAGCAGTAAATATTGACTAAGGGTATAATTTTATGTGGTAATATATGAGTGAAAAACAAGGGAAGAATAAACACATATTCCGGGTGGTAATTATCTCTAATGAAGTGGGAGGAGTCCGATCAGCAGGAGACAGAAATGCATGATGCTGTTCTTTGTGCAAAAGGTGTGGTGCATAAATAGTTTTCTTTGTGTGCATTCTTCAAAATGAGCATTTCATATTCTCAAATGAGAAAGTGTACAGCGCAGTGATTCTGCTGCTGTAAGTGCACTGGGTATCGAGCTGCCCTAGTGCTAGTGACAGGCAGGGCAGTGATGCGAGCACTCGGAAACTGACTTTAGGATTTTAAATTTGAAGTGATGTTCAGTAGGAAATGTCCATCAACTCTAGATCAGAAAGTATCACTCCGAGAACTGTAGCTAAGAACCACGAGACCATATGTGGTTGGAGCATCAGCCCTCTGTGTCTGTGGGTTTCTGGACTCCCAGGCAGCCTCTTAGAAAAAAAAATGAAAATGGAAACTGCAACTGTACCGAGCGTGCACAGACCTTCTCTTGGGTCCTTACTCCCTAGCCCATGCTGCACAGCACTGCACAGACAGGATTTTGTGTTTGCATTTTGTTATGTGTTCTATAAGCAATTTAGAGATGACTTAAAATATGTGGGAGGAGGTGTGTTTGCTACATGTGAATTCTGACTGTCTTTTTATATTAAGCACTTGAACATCACAAGTGTAGCTATCCATGGTGGAGGAGCTAAAACCGATCCCACATGTGTGTGTGTGTGCGTGTGTGTGTGTGTATGTGTGTGTACTTTTAACATAAATCTGTATTTAACTAAAATAAGATTATAAGATAAAGACAAAGAGAGAGACAGAGATTAACTATCTGTTGTAGAAGACATGGCATTAGGGTGATCCCTAACCTGAAGTCTAGTGGTTGCTATGGAAACACAAAGGAAAAGGCAAGTAGCTAGATCTATTTCAGAAAAAGAAATGGCACAAGTTAATATAAGATTCTAAAAAGCTTCAGAATATTTTCTTTTGTTACAAAGCAGACTGAGTGTACACATAAACACTATAAGGATAATTTTGACCACAATAAGATACTATTGAAGCTAGTAGATGAGATTTAAATATAAAGTGTGCAGTAGGTAACTGCTTTGTTTTTCTGCTACTGTAGAAAAAAGAAAAATAAATGAT